GCTTCCGCACGACCCCGGCGGTATGGGCCCCTGCGGCTCCCCGCGCCAGGGTCCCATCTGCTCAATGGAACACCTTCTGTTTGAAGACGAGCAAGCGGGGAGTTAAAAGAGAAAGTAATGGGGTCTTTGAAGGCGGGGAGGCGAGCCTGGTGTTAATTTGGAGGATCTTTCCTCGGTAGGAAACGTACTGACACCTCTTAATTAGACACGCTGTTCCACAGGCGTTTAACCATTCCAAGGCCCAGGTATGAAGTCTCTCAGACAGGGGCACCATTTTGGTCCCGTGATGTGGCCGGCATCGTGACTTTCTGAGATCCCCCTGGTGCCTCTGGGTCATGTAACTCCCCAGGCTCCTGTCTCCTCCCCACCCTGAGCGGGGCTCCGAGGGTAGAGGAATAACGGGACACCATGGTTATTATAGAGTAGCGGGACTCATCATAGAGAAGCTTAGGAGCCGTGTCGTAAGCAGACGTGCCCCGTACCATGACTCACCCGGGCACCAGCCGCTGGTGTGGTCTCCTCCCTGGATATCCTCTCCCCCCAACAGCGCCCATTCACTCTCTGCTACTGGAGTGTTCACGGATTGTGCTTTTACGATGTTCTGACGGCTTAGGGATCGCGTCTTCCTTAAGAATCTAAGTAGGAGAATGCAACATCCCGTCAACTGTGATCACAGCGACGTTCACCGAGCACTTGCTGAGTGCCGCTGAGACGTCCCGCTGATGTCAGCTTTGCCGCAGCCCCGGGAAGTCTCGTCTTCCCATTTCACAGATGGGAACACCGAGCATAGAGGGAGTGGCTGGCTGAGGGTGGTCTCGGTCCTGATGCTGAGCGGGACTCACTGCCTCCCAGCCCACAGCCCACAGGAGGCCCACACTCTGAGCATCGGTCCTTCGGTCCAGTCCTTCCAGTGGCATGAGCCTCCCCCACCCCAGGAAATGCACAGCAGACAAAGCGGGGACCCTGTGGGCAGTCAAAGTCAGTGTGAATCCCAAAGATCCTGTTTTATGGGGCTGCCAACCCAAGTTATTAAAGCCCCTCAGTCCTGTTACAGGCTGTTCCGTGCCTGATTGCTCCGCTGAGACATGTTTCCAGTAGTTCACGGCCGGGACTGGGTTCTCAGTAGAACTTGACAGATGGGTGGTGATGGAGAGACTAAGATGGGGTGGAGGGAGATGGGGGAGGAAACATGTTCAGAGTCGCCTTTGTGATTCCGCGCCACCTCCCTGGCCTGTATCCTAACTGCCACCAGCCCTCTCTGGTGTCTGAACACTGAGGTCTGACTTGGCTGGGCCTCATTGCCAGCCTCCTCCTGGTGGGATTCACAGTGGGGGTGTCTGCTCCCTGTGGGGGGACCTGCCCTGGAGAGGCCCGGCTGGGGCTTGGGCTTTGCTCGCTGGCTTCCCAAGGGGCTGAGCATGCTTTTCCGTTTCCCCAGCGCGGCTCCAGGTGCCCTGAGCCTGGGGGAGAGCATCCACGTGGAGACGGGGGAGTGGGACTGCGAACCATCACTCTGGCACCAACAGCCTTCCCTTGTTTCCAAACGAGCAGAGAGAGGAAGCAGGAAACGCCAGCGGGCGGTTGGGCTGTTCAACATTTTCCTTCTGTTTTAGTCAAACCTGTGAACAGAGCCTGGCTCCAGGCCTCGCTCCCACCCAGTTCCGGAGCCGCTGGGAGTCGAGCTGGGCTCACAGGCCACAGGTTTGTTTCCAACAGCTCAGTCCCTTGGAAGGTGGTGGCCTGGGACACCCTTTGCCATTCCCCCTGAGAGGCGCAGCTCTGAACAAAGGGGGAGGGGTGGGTAGGGGGGCCCTCCCAGCTGCTGCCTGCTGTTCCCGGAACTTCAGCACCTCTCGCAGGAGCCCCTGGCTTATGTCTGGGCAGCATCGGGCTTCCTTCCGGGTCTGGGCTGCGGAGCTATTCTTCAGGCTCTCTGTCGTCCCTGGGACGTGGGACAGAGCTCAGGATGAGGGGTAGGCGAGGGCGCACAGGGAGTCTGTGTGAGTGTGCAGGTGTGCAGGTGTGAACTCCCAGGCAGCCTTGCGGCCTCAGGAATCCTGCCAGTAAAACGGGTGACTCCTTCCTCTAAGCTCACGATGGTGTGAGGACAGGAGGGGACATTGTGTGCAGGGCCTGGCACACACGGGTTCTCCCTCGCCCCGCCTGCCCTGCCGCCCTGTGGCAAGGGCTGTAGTCACTGTTCCAAGATGCTCTTCTCATGGCCAAAAATAAAAATTAAAAAAAGGAGCTGGTGCTCTTACAACTTTATTTATTTTAAATATATTTTTACTGATTTCAGAGAGAGGAAGGGAGAGGGAGAGAGAGAGAAACGTCAATGATGATTGAGAGTCGTTGATCGGCTGCCTCCTGCACGCTCCCAATTGGGGATGGAGCCCGATATGTGGGCAGGTGTCCTGACCTGGAATTGAACCGTGACCTCCTAGTTCATAGGTCAACGTTCAATCACTGAACCACACTGGCAGGGCTGTTTAACTGTTTTTTGATGAATGGTTTGATAAGCTAATGGTGAGCCGGGGTACTTGTCCTGTGTGTGTGTGTGTGTGTGTGTGTGTGTGTGTGTGTCTGTGAGAGGGGGAGGGAGGGAGAGAGAAATTTTAATTTCAGTGGCTCTCTGAGGACTCATTTACTGTCCCCAGTAAGAACACATTTCTGATTTGTCAGGTGATTTCTTCTTCTACTGAAAACCTCATTTCTGTTTACCAGCAAAAATGGACATTTTCTTCTTAAAAAAAAAAAAAAATCACTCACACGGCAAAAAGAGACATACCCAGCCCCCAGGACATCCTTTAAGAACAAGGTTTAATTTTCATAAAAGAAGCGAGACCCCGTGAGGAAGAGGCGGTCAGGGTGCTGCGCGGTGGCCGCCAGCCCTTCATTATTCCAGGCGGGTCACGGCCCGTGTCCCCACCTGTGAGCTATTTGCGGCCTTGGCGACCCCAGGAAGCAGGCCTGTAATTCGCTCTGAGTGATGATGTGGGAATTATAACCCCAGAGCACCCGCGCTGGGCCCATTAGGTGTGGGCTTCCTCTGGGAGACCGTGCTGAAGGAAATTTCCACTCTGCAAGCAGGTAAATTCTGCATATCATTTTAATAGCAAGGCAGATCAATCAAACGATAATTGGCTGCAATTAGCACTGCAGAGGGCTGGCAAGGCTCTTTACCTGCTCCCGGGCTGCACTTAAAAAGAAAGTGCCGTCTGCTGACACGGAAGGCATGGAAGTTGCATTATTCCATCTAAATGATGGGGAAAGTGCCCCGGGGCAGAGGGTACGGCTGGCCTGCAGGTGCACACCCCACCTGTGTCTGCAGGGGTTCCTCAAAAAGAGGGGGAAAAAAATTATGCTCCGTGAAACAAGGCAATCTGAGGAAGACAGGTGTCACATGATGTCACTTACGGGTGGCACCTAATGAACAAAATAAGACCGGAAGCAGGGAGGCGTGGGACAGGCTGACATACCTCAATGTGGGGGTGGGAGGACGAGAAGAGATAAAACAAAGAACTTATATACTTACTAGAGGCCTGGTGCACACATTCCTGCACCCGTGGGTCCCTCAGCCTGGCCTGTGGGATTGGGCTGAAACTGGCTCTCCAACATCCCCCAAGGGGTCCCGGATTGCAGGAGGGCACAGACCAGGCTGAGGGACCCCACTGGTGCATGATCGGGGCCAGGGAGGGATGCGGGAGGAAAAGTTGGAAATAAGAAAGAAGAGGAGCGTGGCTTGGAGGGCAAAACCCTGTGTTCTCTAATAAAAAAACGTCTCCTGTCCCTCTATGCACGTAGCGTTGTGACCGGAAGGCACTGTGGCCAGGTGGCTTTTGATTCAAGTTTGTGATTTGCACAAGAGCTTCTGTAGAGTCCAGCTTGTCTGAGGATGTAACGTGACCATCTCCGGTGTAGCGTTGTGTTTACCGTCCGACGTGAAGTTACATGGGAAAGTCTCCAAAGAAGGCTGCTGGCCTGGCGTGGATTGTATTGGGCGGGATACAACTGGTGTTTACCGCAAAGGCAAGATTTTATCCTCCGATGGTCAGACAGCGGGTGTGTGATACTGTATCGGAATGCAGTACATCACGTGGTTTTCTAATGCTCCCATCGGGGAGATGGCCTGTGAGTGTGAGCGCATCCTGCAGGCCATCCCTGCACCGGGGCAGGCCTCTGAGGGGCTGGAAGGGCAATGACATTGACACCGGTACCTGCTGCCCCTGGAAGGCCTGGTCGTGTGGCCCAGTGGATTGAGCTTCCCCTCATGCACCTGGAGGTCATGGTCCATTCTGAGTCAGGCCACATGCCTAGGTTGTGGGCTCGATCCCCAGGGGGTGGAGGGGGCATTCAGAAGGCAGCCAATCCATGTTTCTCTCTCATTGATGTTTCTCGATCCTTCTCCCTTCCTCTCAAATCAATAAAAAAATTTTCAAAAAAGAATGCTGATCAGCTCTGGCAGGCGTGGCCCAGTGCTAAGGACGTTGGTCCATGCACTAAAAGTTCCCGAGTTCGACTCCCTTCAAGGTCAGGAGTTTGCAGGGGGTACATTGAGTGTCAGTTGTGATTCAGTCCTGGGCCCCGGGTGGGGAGCATGCAGAGGGTAATCAGTGTGTCTCTCACATCAACGATTCTCTCTCTGTTGTGATTCAGTCCTGGGCTCTGGGTGGGGAGCGTGCAGAGGGTAATCAGTGTGTCTCTCACATCAACGATTCTCTCTCTCTTCTGTCTCCTCCTTCCTCACCTTCCCTCCTTCCCTTCTACTCTCTCTAAATACCGGTGGAAAAAATATCCTCAGGTGAGGATTCACAAACAAAACCAATAAGGAAAAGAGTGCTACACAGAGGGATCCTCCCTCTCAGCCCAGAGTGGACGCCGAGGGGTCCCACAACGCGCCCTCTCGGTGACCTGCACGGGGAGCACTGGTGCTTTGTGCGTTCCTCATGGGGAGAACCTTCCTTCTCAACGGGGTGTTTTTCTCCCCAAACTCTCATTAGAGCTCTCCTACGCATGGATCTTCAACGAATACCCGTCCTTCGTGGAGGAAGACGGCCGGAGGTTCATCTCCCAGGAGACAGGCCACCTCTACGTGGCCAAGGTGGAGCCGTCCGACGTGGGCAACTACACGTGTGTGGTGACGAACGTGGTGACCGCCGCCCGGGTGCTGGGCTCGCCGACGCCGCTGATGCTGCGCGCCGACGGTAGGAAGCTCTGGGTGGAGAGGCGGCGAATCCGAGCAGAAGCACACGGGGGAAGGGGAAAGCGTGTCTCAGAGAATCACCGTTTCATTTGTTTCCCAACAAGAAGTCTTTTTGAGCACAGGGACCACAAGGACTCCATGAACCCCAGTCCGCACGCAGGGCCGGGTTCAGAATGTGCAGAATGAAAAGAGGGGCCTGTAGTTCCAAAGCCATTAACTCTGGATGGTGACCCCATTGCACCAGGCACAGGGACCCTCAGCCTGGGGCCCTGCTGCTCCCCTCAAAGTCCCCTGTCCTGACCCTCGCCAGCGTAAGGCACTTTGTTACAAGCTAAATGTTCTCTATAAGAAATAAAAGAAAAAACGTGCACATCAGATTCCCCAAAAGGTATGCATCATCCAGCTGAAAGTTTGTACCCTTTTTAAAAATGTATATTTTAATTGATTCAGAGAAGAAGAGAGAGGAGGGAAGAGAAGCATCAATGATGAGAGAGAGTCCCTGGTCGGCTGCCTCCTGCATGCCCCCTACTGGGGATTGAGCCCACAGCCAGGCATGTGCCCTGATCAGTAATCAAACCATGACCTCCTGGTTCATAGGTCGATGCTCAACCACTGAGCCACCCTTTGATAATGTGTCATTTTTTCCACCACCAGGAGTGTGGTGGTGATAACATGACTATATTGTGACCTTGGAATTTGCTTCGAGGGCAGATCTTACGTGCTCTCATCACACACACAAAATAACTGAATTAAACGCGGTATCCATGGGAGAGCTCCATGTGCTACCTTGACCGAGATAATCATTTCACAAGATGCACATGTATTCAATCATCTCATTGTACACCAAAAGAAGTCTAAATATATGCAATATATTTACCATGCAACCTAAATAGATATGGCATTTCTTTGTCAATCATACCTCAGCGTAAAGCTCAGGGAAATACGTTCCATTATCTCCTTCATGGCTGTTTCAAGGGAGCCCCTGAGCTGCAGAGAAACAGACATGTAAGCCTGAGAAACTGCCCACTTACTACCCAAAACCACCTCTGGTGCAGCCCAGTGCCAGTGCCCATGACCTGAGCCCTCTTCCTGGTCTGTTATCATTGCTCAGGTCCTTTCCCAGTCTTTACATTACTGTTTCCTGTTGACTGGGATCCGCTTACGAGCTCTGTCTGAGCTACCCGGGCGCCACGAAGTAAGGTTCCTCCCATTATCTTTGCTCTTCGTGGTATTTCAAAATTTGCAATGCATTTTATATTTTACTTGGGCCGGGAATGTCCTAATTGGACAGACCCTACCAAAGCCACCCACTGTATACCCCGGAAAACGCACGGCGCTTTTCTCAGAGCTGTCCCTTACCCGGTCGTCTATGGACCTCGGAATCCGGGGATGCTTATTCGTGTTGCCCACGCGGCCCGAGCCAGCTCGGCGTCCAGCGTCCGAACCCGCTCACCGGTGGGAAGGGAGTCACTGGTGCAGCAAGGGGAAGCTGCCTTGAAGGGAAAAGGGGCCGGTTCCCAAGGTAACGGTGACACTGAGCGACCTGCACTGTGGGTTTACAGGTGTGATGGGTGAATACGAGCCGAAAATAGAAGTCCAGTTTCCGGAAACGCTTCCGGCCGCCAGAGGGTCCACCGTGAGGCTGGAGTGCTTCGCGCTTGGGAAGTAAGTGCCGTCGCTCTCCCTCCGACGTGCTGAGCGGCGGGGGCCGCAAGGGGCCGGGGTGGTTTTTGACAGACTCCGCTTGGCCTCATTCTCATTCTTCCTTTCATGTAGAAGCAAAAGAAAGAAAAAGCGGAAGGGGGCAGTGCGCGCATCATTCACTCTGACGGCCTTTGCTGCACGCACCTCTGCCTGACTTTGTAAAGGATTGGCCTTCGGTTTCTTTCCCTCGTTCCTATGATCATAGGGAGTAGGTTAGACCAGTGGTAGGGAAACTGTGACTCGCAAGCCACATGCGGTTCTTTGGCCCCTTGAGTGTGGCTCGGCGTTAGAACCACTTCTTCAGAACAGACTCGCCCAGGCCGAAAGCCGACTTCTGCGCGTGGGCCTCGAAGTTTCCATCGCACCGTACGTGCGTGCCCTCACGTGGCGTTTTGTGCAAGAGCCACACTCCAGGGGCCAAAGAGCCACGTGTGGCTCTCAGGCCTCGGTTTGCTGACCGCTGGGTTAGACCTTTGACACCAAGCCATGCATTCATTCAGGAAAACGCAGCACTTAACGTTACTGCGCTGGAGCCTGAGGTCGGGCGAGGCCCCGGGTGTGTGCAGTCGCCAAGGACAGAACCCCGTGGCCTTTTGCTGGGCCCACACCCCAGCTGTGCTGGCTCCAGGCCCCCGTGTGTCTCCGCAGCCCCGTGCCCCGGATCACCTGGAGGAGGAGCGACGGGCGGCCTTTGCCCGGGAGAGCGGCCCTGCGGAGGTCCGGCGGGGTGCTGGAGATCCCCGGCTTTGAGCAGGAGGACGCGGGGTCCTACGAGTGCCTCGCCGAGAATTCCCGGGGGAGAAACGTGGCCCGCGGGCGTCTCACGTACTACGGTAGGTGACTCCGCGGCCGGTGTCCCCGTCCCCATGGGCCACTGGGAGTGGGATCTTCTCGCGCATCAAACGCCGAGGTGGGCGAGGAGGGAGGTCATGGCAGAATCTGGGGTCCAACATGGTCTCCCTTTTGTAAAATCAGGATGCGTATCATAAAAGGGGTTGAGAAGACAGAGAAGTCTGAAGTTGGAGGCATACCGTGTTCCTTCTCTGCATTTTAAAATGATTCCTATGATCTGTCCACCTATATCAAAGCCTAAGCCACATTTGACTGTTCAACCATTCGACCAGTAGCTACGAGGTGCACTAATCACCAGGAGGCAGATGCTCAACACACAGGCATAGAAACATGGAACAGACTGATGAATCTCAGAGGGAAGGAGGGACGGGAAAGGCAGGAAAAGATTAACCAAATTCCTGCATTGGTGGGGCCCCTTGGCCTGGCTGGAGGGATTGGGCCAAAACCAGCAGCTGACATCCCCCGAGGGGTCCAGGATTGGGAGAGGGCGCAGGCCAGGCCCAGCGGCCCCACTGGTGCCTGAATCTGTGCACTGGGCCTCTAGCAATGAAATAGTTCACCTTCTGTTCTGACAATAACCTTTTAGACATGTAACCATGTCCAGGGGAGACATCTTCCCAGAACATGTGGTTTGATATGTTCATGATCTTTGCTAAGCAAACAGGAACTTCTGCTGGGAAGCAGGCGTTACTGCTTTAGACTCACTGTGGGCACTGGGTCCTGACCTCTGTCCATCTGGAGATGGAACTGCCTGTGCACTGCCTGGGATCTGGGACCATATTTAGTCAGTGTACCCCTCAACTCTGGAAGGGAAAGAATAATCATGTGACCTTCATTTAGAGTCTATATGTAGCAAAATTAGATCGTCTTTTATTCAAAAATTTTTTCCAAAGGTATTTTATTAAAAATATTCTAGTTCTTTTTTTTTTTTTTTTTTTTTTTAAGACAGCAGTTGTATGAGAGAAATTGAGAGACAGGTCTTCCCAGGGTTGCAATTAATTAGAAATAAATAAAGTATTCCTCTGTCTGGCTAATGCAAACTTGAGCCCCTGCCCACACCACACAGGACAGGAACCAGTGTGACAACCTATCTTCCTGTTTGGGGTCCAAGGGGCAAGCTGAGACCTGGCCCTTGAGCAGGCTGTGTTCTGAGTGGCTTTCCTTCTAAGTGGTATTTTGCTTTCATCTGTAAGGATAATGTTCCAAATAGCATCTTCTACAACATAAGTGAAACCTGGCTGGTGTGGTTCAATGGTTGAGCACTGACCTATGAACCATGAGGTCACAGTAAGGGCACATGCCCAGGTTGCAGGCTTGATCCCCGATATGGGGCATGCAGGAGGCAGCCAATCAATGATTCTCTCTCATCATTGATATTTCTCTCTCCTTCTCTTCCTTCCCTTCTGAAATCAATAAAAATATAAAAATATTTTTAAAAATATAAAACATCAGGGAAGATGATCAATCCACTGGATACAGTGGTTCTTCATACATCATTTATGGGCGCCAGAATTACTCCTTTTTCCTTAAATATACACATGATTCCAACGGAACCCCTTTATCCACCTTCTCTGCTTGCATTTTAATTCACACCAAGGCTCGGGAGACACCGCTGGGTTGCCTGTCATTGGGAGTTAGCCCTGACTTGGAGGACATATTCTTTCCGCGGCCACAGAAGTCCCTCGCTGTGGGTGGGAATTTTTAGGGCATCCTGAAGACCAGTACCTGCTGCCCGTCACAGATTAAGTCAGCATCAGCTGCGACTCAAAAGAAATGAAAACCTGTGTGTGTCCCTGCATTCCCGTCGACACACAGACGCCCAAAAGTGTCCCAGCACGCACAGAGCTGGAAAGCAGACAGCGGGGACGAGCTGGGCTTGGCAGTGAGCGTGGCCACCTCCCCCTCCGTATGGAAATGATGAATCCGCGGGGTCGGGGCGGAGGGAACAGAACAGCTTCGGGCTCGGTGCTCACGTCCGTCCGTCCGTGCCCGTAGGCTTGTGCCCGTTGGCGTGTTCGTGGAGCACGTATGTCTTCTTCCTCGGCGGGGGTTGACGCCTTCCTTCCCTTGCAGCAAAGCCGCACTGGGTCCAGCTCATCCGGGACGTGGAGGCCGCAGTGGGGGACAGCCTGCGCTGGGACTGCCGGGCCGGCGGCAAGCCCAAGCCCTCCTACCGGTGGCTGAGGAACGGCGAGGCCCTGGCGCTGGAGGTGAGGCCCGTCCCTGGGCATCCACTCTGTTCCTCTGTCCCTCTGTCTCTCTGTCCCTCTGTCCCTCTGTCCCTCTGTCTCTTTGTCTCTCTGTTCCTCTGTCTCTCTATCTCTCTGTCCCTCTGTCCCTCTGTCCCTCTGTCCCTCTATTTCTCTGTCCTTCTGTCCCTCTGTCTCTTTGTCTCTCTGTTCCTCTGTCTCTCTATCCCTCTGTCCCTCTGTCCCTCTGTCTCTCTGTCCCTCTGTCTCTCTATCCCTCTGTTCCTCTATCTCTCTGTCTCTGTCCCCCTGTCCCTCTGTCTCTCTGTCCCTCTGTCTCTCTGTCCCTCTGTCCCTCTATCTCTCTGTCTCTGTTCCTCTGTCCCTCTGTCTCTCTATCCCTCTGACCCTCTGTCCCTCTATCTCTCTGTCTCTCTGTCCCTCTGTCCCTCTATCTCTGTCTCTCTATTCCTCTGTCCCTCTGTCTCTCTATCCCTCTGTCCCTCTGTCTCTTTGTCTCTGTTCCTCTGTCTCTCTATCCCTCTGTCTCTGTCCCTCTGTCCCTCTATTTCTCTGTCCCTCTGTCTCTCTGTCCCTCTGTCCCTCTGTCTCTTTGTCTCTCTGTTCCTCTGTCTCTCTATCCCTCTGTCTCTCTGTCCCTCTGTCACTCTGTCCCTGTGTCCATGTGTGAGGAGCAGTGCAGGTGGAAACCCCGTCACTGCGGGGAGAATGTCCTGACATGGCATTTCATGGGGAAAGAGTGATTTTTGTGAATTTAGTCTATGTGATGCTGCACCACTTTAAAAAAATATATAAATATAAATATAAAAATAAATATAAATATAAATATAAAATATATATATATATATATATATATATATATATATATTTCAGAGAGGAAGGGGGAGGGAGAGAGAGATAGAAACATCAGTGATGAAAGAGAATCATTGATCAGCTGCTTCCTAGTAGGAATCGAGCCATTACCTCCTGGTTCCTAGGTGGATGCTCAACTACTGGGCCACACCGGCCAAGCCCCAGAACACTTTTTAATGCACAGAATGTATAATGTCTTTAATCGATGTGATTTAAAAAAAAATGGTGAAATCCTTTCTGGTTGAGAAGATGGAAAGCTTGGAACATTTTTAAGGGTCTGTAGTGTTAAGACCTATCTCCCTCTCCCTCTCCCTTCCTTTCTAAGTCAATAAAATAAATGTGCTTTAAACGCATTCTGGAAGAGTTAAGTGGTGGCGACATCTTACCTTTCCTTGTTACTGACGGACTTCCCTTGGGACTGACTTCCCTTGGGACTGGCGTGCTTGCTGGTATTTCCGTGCGTGGCCCTCACATTAACCAGCCCCATGTTTTCCGATGAAGAAGAGTTTAAGTTTCAAGACAGGTGAGGAAGATCTTGTGAAGAACTGTACTCAGCCCTGGCTGGGTTTGCTCAGTGGATGGAGCGTCGGCCCGCAGACTGGAGGGTCCCTGGTTCAATTCCGGTCAAGGGCATGTTACCTGGGCTGCAGGTTCAGTCCCAACCCATTCGGGGCACCTATGGAAGACAACCAGTCAACGTGTCTCTCTCACATAGACATTTCTCTGTGTGTGTGTGTCTCTCTCTAAAAACCAATGGGAACAATAAAAAATAAATAAATAATAAGAAAAATATTCTCGGGGAAGATTAACAACAACAACAAAAAAAGTAGTTTTCAGCAGTTCACTGCTCTGAAACACACTTACCTGGGGGAGGTGTTTGCCTCCGAGCAGGAGCGGATCCAGCTGGAAAACGGCGCCCTGAGCATCGTGAACCTGAGCGTGGCGGACGCGGGCATGTTCCAGTGCGTGGCGGAGAACAAGCATGGCCTCGCCTACTCCAGCGCTGAGCTCCGGGTGCTGGGTGAGATGCCCCTTCCCTTGTCTTGTTATTTCCCCTAAACCCTCCATTTTGCCAGAAGCAGAAATACTTGCTTTTCTTTTTTTTTATCTTTTAAAGTTTATTTTTTATTGATTCTAGAGGGGAAGGGAGAGGGAGAGAGAGAGATAAACATCACTGATGAGAGAGAACCATCGATCGGCTGCCTCCTGCATGCCCCACACTGGGGATGGAGCCCACAACCCGGGCCTGTGCCCTGTTCAGGAATCGAACTGTGACCTCCTGGTTCATAGGTTGGCGCTCAACCACTGAGCCATGCCGGCCAGGCATAAATACTCACTTTTATATTCCCATATCTGATAACGTCGTTGGTTTTCCTGGGGAGTGGGTCGGGCTTCTAAGCAAGGCCTACACCCCAGTGGCTTCCGTATTTTCCATCTGAGCCCTGGTCCTCTCTCCTGTTCCTCCTTCCTCTCCAGCCTCCGCTCCGGACTTCTCCGCGGCGCCCATGAGGAAGCTGGTGCGGGCACAGGTGGGCAGCACCGTGGGCCTGGACTGCCGGCCCCAAGCCGCCCCCCGGGCCCTGTGCTCCTGGAGGAGAGGCGAGGTGACCGTGCGAGAGGATGGAAGGTATTGGGGCCACCGAGCTGTGGCCTGCCCTCCTCCCACTTTGCACAGGGGTACCTGTGGGCCTGAGAAAGGACTGAAGAGGCAGATATTTTACCTGCAAGACGGGCTTGTGGGTTTTCTCTGGAATAGCAGGGGGATGCCCCCGGGACAGGGAGCTGGGATGCACCCTCCTTGGGTCAAGGAGGAGCTGGGCTTGATCCTAAAGGAGGCGGGGAGGAGGGGCCTTTGGAGGAGCTGGGATGGTAATAGCATCCTGGGGGCGGAGCTAATGTCACAGGTGCTCAGCCAGAGGTGCAGGTGAGGCCTGACAGTTTGGGTGTTCCGCTGGCCAGGAGGATCCCTTCCCTCCTCAGCTGCCCAGGTCTGTCCTCCTCTTTGGAGTCCAGGCACCAGAGCGGAACAGCGCCCCCTTCAGGCTGGCCGTCTCCATTTCTAGTGAGGATTCCATCCTTTATTTTCCACATTCTGACTAGGTTTTCAATAGGAAGTGAGACGCAGTGGCATTTCAAGGCAGTGGGGGGGGGGGGGTGTTTCGGGACCAGGATGGCCGGTTTTATTCTGCCGTCCCCTCCCGATGACAGTAGTCAGGCCCTGGAATCTAAAATAGCGCGCTCTCCCTCCTCACCGGAAGCACTTGATCTTAAACAGGACTTCCCCTCCTGTCCCCGAGAGACTCCCGAGGGGCAGAGCCGTGCTGAAGACGCCAGCATTGCTCTCAGGTGGAGAGAGCGTCCCAGGCTCAGGGAACGGCGGTTAGCTCCTGGCTGCGGTCCGGGAAGAGCTGCTCTGAGTAGATAACAGGCTTACGGTGCGGAGAGCAGCCCAGCTCTCAGCATTAAGGGCTCATCCTTCCGTTGGGAAATATTTTGAGGACCAACTACAGGCTGGTCACTAGGTATTTTGGTCTTCGTTTAAATACGTTTTTATTGATCTCTGAGAGGAAGGGAGACAGGCAGAGAGATGGAAATATCATAGATGAAAGAGAAGCATTGATTGGCTGCTTCCTGCACGCCCCACTCTGGGGATCGAGCCTGCAACCCGGGCATGTGCCCTGAGTGGGAATCGAACCGTGACCTTCTCGTTCATAGGTCGATGCTCAGCCACTGAGCCACGTCGGCTGGGCTGGGTGTTTATCAGACACATCACTCTGCTTGTTCTCAGCTTCCTGGAGGCTGTGAAGGTGACACGGGGTCACATGGTGCTCACTTGGGGAAGAACAGGATGCTCCGTGATTCCCCGAGAAGGCCCGTCTGCATGTGAGGGGGCAGGAGCAGGTGTTCTGGGGGACTCGGGGTCTCAATGAGACCGGAGAGGTGACGGGGGTCCTTGGAGAGGCATGCCAGGCAAGGGGAACAGCGCAGGTGAGGGCACGGAGGCCTGGGAGGCAGGGACAGTGCATTGCAGTGATGAAGGCTTCGTGCCCCTCCAGTGGACAGCACCCAGGAGGGGTGCAGCGGGGTGAGCAGGGGTCTTACTGGGGATCACGTAGTTGCTGAATTGCAGAGTCTGGGCTCGGTTCTGTGGGCCCTGGGGGGCAGCAGAAGTAAAGGAGCAACATCAGAGGTCAGATTTATGTTTTTAAAAATCGGAGCAGTGGTCCTAGCCTGTTCAGCTCAGTGAATAGAGCAGCAGCCTTTGGACTGAAGGATCCCAGGTTCAGTTCTGGTCAAGGGCACACAAGTCGACTGCAGGCAGAATCCTGGCCCTGGTGGAGGCTTGTATGGGAGGCGACCAATCAATGTATCTCTCTCACATCGATGTTTCCGAGAGGATGGGGCTCATGATTTGAAGAAACAAGAAGATAGGAAGGAGTCCAGGGTGAATCCTGTTTCCAGCGTGAGCACCAGAGCAGTGCTTGGAAGACCTGGTCGGGGAGACGGAAGGTTCCAGAAGGGGCAGGGCATGCATGCTCATCTGGGGCTGGCTGGGTGTGCAATGGTGTGGAAGAACCAGCTGGATGTGTCTGCGCTGGAGATTCACTGGACAAATCAGGGCTCGGGGAAAGGGCTGAGCTGCAGGCGGGATACGGAACCACGTGGTGAACCAGCTGCTCTCGGCGTCCCTGTCACCTGCCGGCACGCGGGAGGGTCTGCCTCTCACCTGGGAAGTGGGCAGAGACGTAACAATTGAGTGGAGGATGCCTGCTTAACAACCCCCTTTATTTATTTATTATTTTTTTTATGAAGAAATTTATTTTTTATTTTTATTTATTTATTTTTAAATATATTTTATTGATTTTGTACAGAGAGGAAGGGAGAGAGATAGAGAGTTAGAAACATCGGTGAGAGAGAGTCGTCGATCAGCTGCCTCTTGCACACCCCCCACTGGGGATGTGCCCGCAACCAAGGTACATGCCCTTGACCAGAATCGAACCTGGGACCCTTCAGTCCCCAAGCTGACGCTCTATCCATTGAGCCGAACCGGTTTTGGCTAACAACCCCCTTTAAGTGGCTAACGGTTACCATGTACAGCTAATTGATGTGTTAAGTCAACCCAAGCCAAAGGTCAGCAGGACTCACCTGGTGAGCAGGCGCACTAAACGCTGTGATCACCGGTGTCGACAGGGAGCGAAGTGTCTTGTTGGGGGGTGTCTCTGCCCTTTATTTTCTCGGTGGGCTCCCACTGTTGAGAAGCGCCGCCCGCTCCCCGCAGGAAGCGCGTGCTCTGACCCACGCCCTCGCTGCTAAGCTTCCAAGGTCTCAGGGCGCCTGGGCGTCTCCGAGCTGTGGCCTTACCCATGTCCTCAAACCCACGCGTTTCCAAGATGGGATTGAGAACGGGAGGCCTTTTCCCCTGTAAGCAAAGTAAACCGGAAAAGGGCGCGGGCGATGCAGCCAGCACGGTCAGCAAGGAGAACCCTCCGGTGGCACGTTCTAAAGGATGCTGAGCTTTCCCGTGTCCCTGGGCAGCGTTCAAAACGCATTAGCCAATTATTTTTCTTTTAATGGCGCTTTCACCTGAATGCTGTTGCTTATCACGGCGGATGCTTTATGGCCACCGCCTTCGTTCAGGGGCGAGCGGAGGGATGGCTCATTATTTCTAATTAAGCGCATTAAAATGGTTTTCTGTCCTATGCAGCATTTAACGTAGAAATTTAAATGCTTCTAGAAGGGGGCGGTGGCAGAGATTTCTCCCGAATATTGGTGACCATGATGCCGACAGTGTTTGTAAGACGTATTAACCCATGCTCCCTGTACTTTTTGCGTATAGGTAGCGGGTGGCTGTTAAAATGCCATCAGCGTTGTGTGCTGGGGGTGCCCTGTCTGTGACATTCCTGGAAAAGGCACAGCTTTGGGGACAGAGAACAGCAGTCCCTGCTTGTGGAGCCCAGAGTGGGTGGAGAGGGTGACTGTCAGGGTCACAGGGCGGGCGGGGGGGGGGGGGGGTTGGGGAGGAGAAGGGGGTTGTTTTTTAGGGCTGGGTTGTGACCCTGTTACACAGGCTCATGCATTTGTTCAAGCTCAGACCGGCTCACTGAGACTGCATGCAGATGCCTGAATTATTTTAAAGTGAGGTGACCAGACATGGGACAAATGGTTAAAAATCGGGACTGTCCCGCCAAAAGCGGGACGTCTGGTCACCTTACCTTAAAGGCTCACGTGGGGTTTTATACCGTCTCTTCCCGCCTTCATGAGCCCCTCCAGGTCCTGTGAATGCAGGTCCCCTTTGCTCTTGGAGACACACTGGGCCATCCATTCGGTGACATCCCTTCGGAGCAGAATGTAAACGTCCGCCCCGACAAGCACAGGCTGCTTACGTGTCTGAGTGCGTATGCATGTCGTTCTGGGCAGGCCTGCGTGTGTTTGCAGCCTACGTGCTGATCGCCATGCCCATTCCCCCCTGAGCCGGGGGAAGCTCACCGCGAGTGTTATTTGCTTTTTGATTTAACTTCTGCCCGTGGAGAGAGGAGCAGCCACGTGTGGGACAAGCTACCCAGTCCTGAGTCGGGTGTCGCCTCTGCTTGGGAAATGGGTCAGAAAGGCGGGTTTGTCATTCTGCTCAGCGCCCTTTGCTTGGCACACGTTCTTAGCCAGAGGTTGGCTGGACACCTGGCCTCCCAGGACCGGCAGAGAAGGGACAGGGCTTCCTTTGGGCAAATTGCTCCCAGCCCTGTCCCTGCTGCTGGAGTCACACAGGTAACACTAGAGCGGCTTTCCACGGGGTCTCCCACGCAGGCCCTGCAGCTGCCGGTGTTGTTTTTAATACTCTCCTTTGCCACCGTGTTGCCCAGACACTTCAGAGTAAGTAACGGGTCTGGGTTCAAAAGGAAAGGGATGAGCAATGAGAAAATACCTAGTTTTTTTTTTTTACAGCAACTGTTTTCCATTATGTAAACCTTAAATCCTCCCCAAATATTATTAAAGAAATTGCTGCTTTCCAGTGTTTTCTAAAGTTGCATCAGCTGCGTTTTGCAGGTCGTCATGCGGTGGTTAAATCCATATGTCAAATACGACCTTTATGGGTTATAAACGTGAAGGCCGCGTTTAAAATACTTTGCCGATGCTCTGATTCCCGTAGGGAGAGCCGGTTAACGCGTCTACCTCACACCAGTTTCCTGTTCAAACTTGATACCTTACTCTGTATCCAGGCTCAGCATCAAAGTTTTTGTTTTGTTTTTTTTAAATATATTTTATTGACTTTGTACAGAGAGGAAGGGAGAGAGATAGAGAGTTAGAAACATCGATGAGAGAGAGTCATCAATCAGCTGTCTCTTGCACACCCCCTACTGGGGATGTGCCCGAAACCAAGGTACATGCCCTTGACCGGAATCGAACCCGGGACCCTTCAGTCCCCAAGCCGATGCTCTATCCATTGAGCCAAACCGGTCCCGGCATCAGCATCAAAGTTTTAGGTACTGGCATGTGGAAGCCCCAAATCCCAGGAGCAGCCCAATTCTCCCAGGATGCACTGCGGGAGGGCGTGGTGCTGGATTCTTGCCAAAAGGAAGGAGGGAGGAGCTGAGTGCTCCCCACGTCTCCGCTGCAGCTGCTTCTCCATCTAGAAAACCCAGCTTCTGCTCCAGGCCGGCTCCCTGTTACCCGCTGAGGTCCCCCTCCCAAGCCCCAGGGCGGGGCTCACAGGTCTTCCTTCCGTGTCACTCCTGCGGGCCTTTGCCACGCGTGTCACATGACAGCGTGTGATGAAATTCTCAGAGCTAGGCCTAGCGGGGAAGTGGGGTCTCGTCCACTCTCCCCCAGGGCGGGTCTGGCTCCCAAATTTGGGAGGAAGACGGTATCTACGCCTGGAGAGAATGGACAACACGAACATGCTCAGAAGACGCAATCAAGATCTGTGGCCTACCGCACCGTCCTGGGTCCTGGCCACGTCCTGTGACCCACCCCTCTGGGATGCATTCCCCGAGAGGCACAGGGGTGGCCTGTCCGTGCCACTCGCCCCGAGTCCACTACAGCGACGCTCCGAACCTGGTGGGCAGCCACGGCCTCAGGACCCCTGGCTCCCTGCAGCTGGCCCACACTGCCCAGCTCTAACCCGACGGTGGTATTGCCGATGCTCAACTGTGGCCAACGTTCAGATCAACGTTGCCAAGACAAGGGTGTGTTTTCTGAACAAACAGGGCTTCCTAAGGGTCGTAAATGCGATGCCATCGCTGAAGCGCGGCCTGGGCCCTCGAGGCAGCTGAGGGCAATGACCTTTATCCTCCCACCCCAGCCGCAGGTGCACTAGGTTAAGTGAGACCACCCCTTTGAGGACAGAAGGGGGAGGACCAGTACAGGGAGGGGCGGAGAGATAGCGTGTGGGCCTGGCCGCTCCGCAGAGCGAGCTGGAGAGCTCCCTTCTGTTCGCTCAGCTCAGGAGTCCACGTTTAATGCCGGCGCCTTGCCTGGCATCCCTGCCTCTTGGCCCCGGCCTTGGCAGGAAGCACGTCCTGGAAGCTCAGGGCCGTGGTCGGCAAACCGCAGCTCTGGATCCACATGCGGCTTTTTGGCCCCTTGAGTGTGGCTCTTCCACAGAAGACCACGCGCAGTGCTATTGAAACTTCCTGGCCCATGAGAGGAAGCCGGTTTCGGCCTGAGTGAGTGTCTGTTTTGAAGAAGTGGCGTTAGAACACTCAAGGGCCCAAAGAGCCACAAGAGCTGCTTGAGAGCCGTGGTTTGCCAACCACTGGCTCGGGGAGGAAGCTGGCTGCTGAGCTGTAGCACCTCCATCGCTGACAGGCATCCGTGTGTAGGCTGAGAACTGCCCAGCGGGCTTCTTGGAACTTCCTAGAAGAACCAATGAGCTCACAACGCTTCCCGAGATGAGTTAGCCGCCTTCGAGGGTCCGTGTGTTGATGTTGGAGCTGGTGTGCCCCCTAATGGCAGCCTTGCCTGGGACACCGACCCTCCTCTGGGGGGGGGGGGGGGCAAGGGGCAGGCTTGGGAGTGAGCAGTGAGGGTGAGGGTTTTGAGCCTCATGTCTGGGGGATTTCCTCTTCTCCCAACATTCCTAGTGGGTCCCTCTGTGTCCGGAAAGTTCCCTGTCACCCCGTCTCCACACGGGAAGACAGCCGCCATCGCCCGGCTGTCCTCGGGCACCAGCCCGAAGCGCCAGTGGGAGCTGAGTGCTCGGTCATTCCACAAGTGACATCGGTCCCTGGTCTCGGCGCTCACCACCCTCCCAGGGTGGGGCCCAGCTTCCCGGAGCCCCCAGCCCCACCTCCTCCCTCGGACTCTGAGCCGAGGCCTCCCCACATCTCCTCGCTCTCTTCCTTCGCTTGCTAACACCTCCAGCCAGTCACTCTCTGCATCAGTCACAGCGGGTCGCACTTACGGGTGGAAGCTACGGGTCAGTGCTGGTCCCTGGGGAACAGGGCAGAATACTCTCACCGGTGGGATTCGCCCTCGGGATGGGCCACGTGTTTATACTCACGCTTCCAGTTTGAGACTTCTCCACCAGTTTTCTCCTTCCTGCCTCCCCAACAAAAGGGACGGAAGAACTCTTTATTCCCGGTCAGGGCACATGCCCGGATTGCGAGCTCGATCCCCAGCATGGGGCGTGCAGGAGGCAGCCGATTTCATGATTTTCTCTCATGACTGATGTTTCTCTCTCTCTCTCTCTCTCTCTCTCTCTCTCTCTCTCTCTCTCTCTCTCTCTCTCTCTCTTTCTTTTTCTCTCTCTCCATCTCTCCCTTCCTGTCTCTGAAATTATATTTGTTAAATCTGGATTTTCCTGGCTTGAATGTGCTTCTCTCCACTTCATAATGAAAGGCCAGGGGGTTCCTTATTTCTCAGCTCCCCTTCTGGATTTAAGGAGCATAGTCCCCCCCTACTTTTCATTGTCTCCAAACCGATGAGGGTACGGCATGGGGGACCTGCCACACCTGCCTGTTTGGGAAATATCTCCAAATGTAGGTGCCCTATCGGTAATGCAGTTCCTTCCTCTTTCCCGGGGGATGGAAACTTTACTTCCATTTCCCTCTCTTTCCAAGAACAGCTCAGAAGTACTAGTTTGAGGCAGCACTTCTGCTAGAAAGATGGCTGTTTATCTGGGGGGACATGGCTGCCATCCGTTTACTTGTCGCATCTGTCTTTCCTTTAGAATTTCTTTCCTGAAAGACGGAGGGCTCAGCATAGCCAACGTGACGAAGGCCGACGCCGGGACTTACACCTGCTTCGCAGAAAACCAGTTCGGGACGGCCAGTGGCTCCACGCGCCTGGTCGTCACAGGTGGGGTCCCCACGCGGGTGGGCGGGCCACGCTGCGTGCTACGGGCGGACGCACGCTGGCCACTGTGCTGGTGACCTGCGTGACCTCCTGCTGTTCTCCTCTGTGGGGTCTTTGGGATCCTCTGTCTTTTCCCGTACCCTGAGGGTGTCTGGAGATGTTCGTGACCATGAGAGGGTCCTTGCTGTTAGTAAATGTCACTTAGAGTTGGCATTTATTTGCTCGTTTAGGGCAGTGTCTCCCAAGGTGTGGTACGCGTCCCCCCGGGGGTACGGGAAGAGTCTGGTGGGGGTACGCGTTGCACCGGAGTTCGGTGGGGATGTGCACTGCACCATGCTTAGCTGTGCCTAATTCTACGTTTTCATGAGTACGAGGGGTACTCAGCGTTACGGAAATTATAGAAGGGGTACACATATGTTAAAAGTTTTGGAAACACTGATTTACGGGAATGTGTGGCCCCAGGGCTGATGAGGGCTCCTGAAATCCTTCGGCCGGGCCCTGCCACGGCATGAGGGTGAGTGAATGAAATGCTTGGCCAGACTGAGCAGGCTCATCGTTAAATTGACGATTTTGCGTGGCCTGGGAATGATGTTATAAGTAGCCACACGGCCCTTGGCAGGAAAAGGGATCCCCGCCCCTGATTCACTCATTCAGGGAAAACCTGAGCGCCTACCGCGTGCCGGTCCTCGGCTGGCTCACGTCGTCAGCAGAGGAAGGCGCTGCGTTAGGAGGCTGGCCTCCTCGCTGAGCCGGGAGAACACAGGCCGTGGGGATGGGAAGCAGGGGCTTCTGGGAGGAGGAAGCTGCAAACCATCCGACACTCCGAGGGCGTGGGGGGGTGAGCCGGGCAGACACGCACGCTCCAGGCTAGGTGCAAAGTCGGCCTGGGAACGTCGCTTTCGTGGAAACAAAATGCTGGCGTTTGGCTTAAAACCTGGTTTCCCCCTCGCCCCAGACCCCACGAGAATAACGCTGGCGCCGTCGAACATGGACGTGTCCGTGGGCGAGAGCGTGGTCCTGCCCTGCCAGGTGCGGCACGACCCCCTGCTGGACGTCGCGTTCACCTGGTACTTCAACGGGGCGCTCGCCGGCTTCCAGAAGGACAGCTCCCACCTGGAGCAGGCTGGCGGGGTGAGTGGCCCTTCCTCCCTGCGCTGTGCAGACCGGGAAAGCAGCATGGGTGTGATGCTCTGGAAACGCCTGGCAGCCCTGGATGGTGTTGCCTAGTGGTTAGAGCATCGAGCTGGTGCGCCAAAGGGTTGCAGGTCTGATTCCCGGTCAAGGGCACATACCTGGGTTGCAGGTAGCCTTTTTTTGTTTTGTTTTGTTTGTTTTTTCCTGTATTTTTATTGATTTCAGAAAGGAAGGGAGAAGGATAGAGAGAGAGAGAAACATCAGTGATGAGAGTGAATCATGGATCGGCTAACTCCTGCACTGCACGCCCCCTACTGGGTCTCGAGCCCACAACCCAGGCATGTGTCCTGACTGGGAATCTCATTGTGACCTCCTCGGTCATAGGTCAACGCCCAACCACAGCACCATGCTGGCAGGGCAGCAGGTAATCTTTGAAAAGAGAAGGAAGGGGAGATTGTTGGGATCCTAGCCTCAGTGAAGTACGATTTCACCGCCACATCCTTCTTTGACCCTGGGGCTTATCCCGCCTCGGAAGTCTGGACTCCTCACGAATGGTTCTCACCAAGTGAGGGCTGTTGAGACCTTCAGCCGCACTGCCTGCTTGGTGTACGTTCTGCAGGAGGCACGGGGCCATCTCCCTACAAGAGACAGGGAGCAGAATCATGAAGTTTCAGAGAGGAATCCCATCACTCGGCAGTTCAGGTCTTTGTCTAAAGGCCGGTTCGTGGCCTGTGAATTGGTGTAGGGACCTGTGCCTTGGTAACAATATTCTGCATAAACCACCAAGCCCTTCGCGTCAACATGGCCCTTAAGCACTCGCAGTTCAGCACATTGGTTTCCTGCTGCGTGAGAGGGAGGCACGTAACAGCCCTTCCCTGGATTGTGTGCCTGCGGCAGCATTGGCGTGATACGGGGAAGGTCTGTCTGCTGGTCTTTACCCCCAGTGCTTCCAGAGTGGTCTTTCAGGAGCGAGAGGGGCCGGCTAGAAAAAGAAAACCCAAACTCACAGCTTTCAGCCCGCTCGGCCCCTTGTCATTGGGACTAGGCTGCATATGCCATATTCATTTGTGACAAAAAGCCAACGCACGTTTTGGGGAAAAGTGCATAAGCTCAACAAGCTCCAGCAAGCCCGACTGCCCAAATCTCTCCCTCCTACTTGCCCCCCCACCCACCCCCACCGCCCCCCCCCCCCTCGAGAGCCACACATTCCCTCCTCTTCCCAGCAGATTTGCGCACAGGTGGGAAGTGGAAAAGAGCATGAGCAGGTGCTGAGCTGGAGAAAGAGAAGTGGCACCTGGTGGGAGGAAATAGACTCTGAGACCATGGTCTCTGCCCTCATTTATTTTGGAAACATAAATGCCCAGAGGAAAGCTGGTCTTCAGCCATGGAAATCTGTCCGCAGCCCTGGTGGTGGTCCCTCTGTTTCCTGCGTGGTTTCCTCTCTATTTCCTGTGTGGTTTCCCCTCTATTTCCTGTGAGGTTTCCTCTCTATTTCCTGTGTGGTTTCCCCTCTATTTCCTGTGTGGTTTCTCCTCTATTTCCTGTGTGGTTTCTCCTCTATTTCCTGTGTGGTTTTCACCCTCTCATTTCTATTTCCATACATTCTGGGGTGCCGGCTTCTTCTCCCCCACGTATTCTTCTCTCTGGATACAAGTCTCCTGCTTGGCCACAGCCTTCACGAGGGTTTGGTTTGCAGAATAAAAGTGTGCTCCTTACGTGTTCATTCCCACAGAGCTCATCGGGCGATTTGATGATCAGGAACATCCAGCTGAAGCACGCAGGGAAGTACGTCTGTGTGGTGCAGAGTGCGGTGGACAGTGTCTCCTCGGCTGCTGACCTTGTAGTGAGAGGTAAACATCGACACCACGTTTCTTTCTCTCTTTTTTTTTTAAAATATTTTTATTGATTTTCCACAGAGAGGAAGGGAGAGAGATAGAGAGCTAAAAACGTCAATGAGAGAGAAACATCGACCAGCTGCCTCCTGCACACCCCTACCGGTGATGTGCCTGCAACCAATATACATGCCCTTGACCAGAATCGAACCTGGGACCTTTCAGTCCACAGACCGACGCTCTACCACTGAGCCAAACTGGTTTCGGCGCCACCATGTTTCTTATCGACCATCTTCCCTGGGCCTGTCTCCCTGCAGCTGAACCAGGATGAGGGGGCAGAGGAGTGAGCGGTTTTATTGTTGACTCATTCCCTGCTCCCTGAGAATGTGACAGTAAGGATGGGTGCAAATTCAAAGACACAAAAATTTCAGCTCCGCCCTCTGTGCAGCTTTTGCACAGCAGCTGCTTGGCCGATGTGCTATGACCATGTAGTGAAGTCAGTGATCGAGTTTAATATGAGAGGGAATAGTTGTGTGTACAGGCACACACATGTGCATTTGTATGTATGTTGGTGCATGCGTAGTGTGTGAAGACATGCATGTGCATTGTGTTTTGTGTGTACATGTCTACGGAAACTCCAAAAGAATCAGCATCTTCTTGAATGCCTAGACAACCAGGCTGCTCTCCAAGGTGCTGATTTGCTGCTGGGCTGAAATGACCAGCCTGTCTCCCAGAGGAGGCAGCCAGAGGACCTGCTGGGATGACTGAGATGTGCCCGGGATGGCAGGAGTGGGAACCCCGCCCAAAGTAAAGGACACTGAGTTTGAAAAAATCCTTCTGACTAGGGCCTCAAAAGCAGGCGTCATGTGCCACTGAGGCATCCCGATGTCGGAATGACTGCCTCCCAGTCTGATTTAAGGCCTAACAACAGAAAGGGGAGCGGGGTATTGCAGGTAAATGGCCTTTTCTGTAAGTGCCTCTGAAATCAGGATTCTGGCGGTGTCCCAGTGGTCATGTGACATGCTCTTCCCTTCGGAAAAGGAGGGTGAGATGTGTGGGCTAGCTACTCCTGCTTGCCTCCCCAGGTTCCCCCGGGCCACCCGCAAACGTGCAGGTGGAGGAGATCACGGACACCACAGCCCAGGTGTCCTGGACAGAAGGCACCGACAACCACAGCCCCATCACCGCCTACGCCGTCCAGGCGAGGACGCCATTCTCCGTGGGCTGGCAGGCCGCCAGGACAGGTGAGGGCTCCGGCCGGGGCTGCGGGTACCTGTCCGTGGGTTGCCAGCCAGCGCCGAACCACGCAGACGCTGACCTCTCTGACTTGCTCTTTGTAGTGCCCGAGGTCATTGATGGGAAAACACACACTGCCACTGTAGTCGAGTTAAACCCGTGGGTGGAGTACGAATTTCGGGTTGTAGCCAGCAACAAACTCGGAGGTGGAGAACCCAGTTTGCCCTCAGAAAAAGTAAGAACTGAAGAGGCAGGTTAGTGTTCTGTTTCCTGAGTAACACGGGTTGGCAGGTGTCCCCGGGGGCGAGCTTGCATTTCCCTCGGCCTTGGTCTCCCGGCCAGCAGAGGACCGGCCTCCGTGACCCATGGGCACAGTGACTGCTCAAGCCCCCGTCTTTAACGGCAGGACTGGCCTGGCTGGACGGCATTTGTCAGAAAGACTCCCCTGAACGTGCCTCGGGGGCATCCCGACATTCCCAGCGCCGGGCGCATTGCCGGCGTCCACTAATGCATGTTGAGTGGCTCTGGTCTTGTCACTTACGGTGATAATTACTGGCTGGCACGGTCACCCTGTGGGCAGAGAAGTGCCGTTCTCCTTTGTAAGGAGCCCTGACAAATGGGGGGATGATGATGCGTCCAAACAGTGCATGAGGAGGGGCCTTCAGCCCCTTAGGCTTCAGCCAGGAGAGAATCACTGCTAGAGGATCCCACCCCGGGGAACGGTTCCTGTGAACCATACGGCTGATTGGCAATTCTGAAAGTATCCTGACGCCACAGCTAAAAACGTGCAAAGCATACATCCTGTCCCGTGATCGAGGCATCTGAGTGGGCGTAGCAGCTCCCTCTCAGATTCTGTAATTCGAGGGCAATATGGCCTCTTAAACACAGCCCAGTGTCCACGTGGGTTGTAAGCCAGGATTGGAGTGATGGCACCCGCTCCCACAACTCAAGTGACGCTGTCTCCCTCGGGGCGGTGCAGACACCACCGGTGCCAGACCTGCGTGTTGTGGATCCCAGGAACCCATGTCTGCCTGGTGCTCATTCATTTTCTCACCTGGCATGCTAAGGAGCGTCCCCTGGGACTCAGCGCCTCCTGGTGAGGTGGGTGCCACTGTGTACGAGACCAGCCGCGGGGAGCCCGGATTCTCGCCGCGTCCTGGGGCTCTCTCAGCCCAGCCTGTGGGGGCGAGAAAGCTGGTGCCCGTGTGCGGGTCCGTAGCTCATCAGGGGCCTCGAGGCCTCCAGGCAGGCATTTTTATGTGAAGCCGCCGTTCTGTCCTCCTTTTGTCATTCCTGGTGAAGCAGTTCCTTGTTTTACAGACCCTCAGACGGAGTCCATTTTTTTTTTCTGACATATTGAAACCTTGATCATTTCATACAAATGTAAACCATGTCCCGATTCCCCCCCCCCCCAGAGATGTAGACCGCTTACCCTTGGACAAGGTGGGGGTATGGGGCACTGACCCTCATACATGTGACAGTCAGACTCCCAGAAACATAAGCTGTAGCTCGGTGTCCCCTGGGGCTGGTGCCAGGACCCCTGAGAATAAAGACTAGGTGCTCGGCCCCCTGTCCGTCCAGCACGCTTTGGGTCCGTGCATGCAGCCGCCTCTGCCTCTGTGCATCGCGGGCCCCAGGCCGAGGAGCCAAACCAGTGCCGGTGTTCACTGAGAAAAACACACACATAACATTTGTGTACATACCCGGAGAGGGATATTGCATATGTGCACACACGTGTGTGCAGAATGTGCCTGTGATCAAATGATGTTAATTATGAAAAACGAGCAAGATCTTCTTTCAGGCACATGTTGCCGAAGGCTTGTAGGATTTCACCTCTGTCTCTCTAACCTCACAGCCCCCGAAGTGCCTCCTTCCGAGGTCAGTGGGGGAGGCGGAAGCCGGTCCGAACTGGTGATAACCTGGGAGGTGAGTGTCTGGGTTGCATCTGCCCCTCAGGGACTTGTTGTTCCCATAGTCCTCAGGGCTCAAGGAGGGGCCCTGGGGGGCTGGGATCCTGCTATTCTCACAGTCCTTGCGGCCTGGCAGGGGGGGGGGTGTTAGGGATCCTGCTTTTAAATCACTCCTTTTGTCATTTAAAAAAATATGCTTTTACTAATTTCAGAAAGAGGAAGGGAGAAGGAGATGGAAATATTGATGAGATAAAACATCATCTATTGGCTGCCTCCTGCACGCCCCCTACTGGAGATCAAGCCCACCACCTGGGCATGTGTGCCCTGACAGGGAATCCAACCGTGACCTCCTGGTTCCTAGGTCAACGCTCAATCACCCGAGCCACGCCAGCCAGGAGGCTAATGCTTTTAAAGCTTGGGCTGACTAATCACTGTTCCTAGCATTTTTCATATTTTTAACAATTGCATCGTTTTGACATTTTATAGAACACTAAGGCATAGAGTTATTAAATAATTTGTCCGAGGTCATCGGGCAGGGAAACCCAGGGAGAGAGTCGTGTCTGGCTGCTGCTCCCCAGCTGCCCATGAGACATCCCGAGCAGCTGCGCGCTCGCTAGTGAGGGACGTGCCCCTGACGCCCCAGGTGCTGGCGGCCTGGCTCTCCTCTCAGCTGCTGCTTGATGTCATCATTGGGAACGGTTTTAATGAGCACGTTGAAAGCAGAAGGCACTGGCATTGTCTCTATGATTTAAAGATGTTGAAAAACATTAAAAGTCGAGACCATGATGGGATGGGAGTAGGAATTTTTGATGTGACCCACATGCAGCTTTGAGTTGGTACGTGGTTTTATTTCCTGTTTTTCTAATGTTATGGTTTGGCACTTAATTATCATATCCATGTGTGGTTTCTGTTCATAAAATCAACATGAGGGATAATGTGATATTTGTTTGGCATAGGAGATGTGGTCATTCAACTTACTATCATCATCAATATCATTCAGAACTCAGACGGGGCTACAAGATGCTCAGACACGTGAACAGCTTTGGGAAATTTCAGAGTGAAAATGCCCACGTGGGTCCCACTGGGCTTCCCCTTGGCTTAGCACCCACTCCATACGGTGTGGATTCCTCTCTGGTGTGCCCCCTGCAGGCCAGGATGGTAGCAGCAGCCTTGGTCCCCTAGGTGACTGGAGCTCTCTCTCTCACAGCCGGTCCCCGAGGAGCTGCAGAATGGCGAGGGCTTTGGGTACGTTGTCGCCTTCCGCCCCCTGGGGGTCAGCACCTGGATCCAGACGGTGGTCACGTCCCCCGAGGCCCCGCGATACGTGTTCCGGAACGAGAGCATCGTGCCCTTTGCGCCGTACGAAGTGAAAGTGGGCGTCTACAACAACAAGGGCGAAGGGCCGTTCAGCCCCGTGGCCACCGTGTTCTCGGCAGAGGAAGGTACACACACACACACACACACACACACACACACACACACACACACACGGCGATTGTGCTTCTGGTCCCAGCCAAGGCCCCATGATTCTTTCTCATCATGATTTCTCTCTCTCCCTCTCCTTCCTCTCTGGAGTCCATAAAAAATTACTTTAAAAACAAAGAAGAATCAGTAGCATTTGTGGGCACAGAGGCTCTGGCAAGAGCTGCGGGTGACAATAAGGCATGGCAGAGGGGACAGAGGGGAGGAGGAAGACAAGCTGGGCCTGGAGGGGGGGAGGCAGGAGCAGGGAGCCCAGGCTGCCGTGGCCCCTGAGCCAGGAGACGCCGCAGCTCTGATGTCCTCTTTCCCGGAGGAACGGAAGTGGGCCAGTGTCTCCGTTTCCATGACACGGTTCATGACAGTAGATATTTTTTTACTGAGTAGTCTGTGAGTTTACAAGTGTATCCACCTGCTCTCTGAAAATAAGGACTTCAGTAGATTTCTACCATTGCCTGCCAACGCTGTGTTTTGGTTGACGTTCCCAAACAGAACCTACAGCGGCTCCGGCTCACGTCTGGGCCCACAGCCTGTCCTCCTCGGAGATCGAGGTGTCCTGGAGCGCCGTCCCCTGGAAGCTGAGCAGCGGCCATCTCCTCGGCTACGAGGTAATGGCTCTCGGGAGCTGCGGCCGGGGGGCGGCCATGTCCCTCGCTCCGTCCCTGTAGGCCTTTGTAACCATGACGTCCCAGCTAGCATCTGACTTCCACTGGCATCTCACCAGCACGTGGTCCCAGGAGCATATCCAGGGATATGGAAATGAGCTCAACAAGTTGAATGAAAATAACATTCATTTGGGTAGAAAAAAGGGGGAAATAGCCATAGAAAAGGAACTGGATCCCGCAGGCAGAAACTGGAAGGATTGACCTAGACGCAAGGGTGACATCTGCCCACCCGGTTCACGTTCAGGGGACGTCCATGCGGTCAGGCTGGTCCTCAGCTCCCGTTCTCCCTCTCTTGGTGGCCTTGGCACCTATAGACGAAGTACTGCCTCCTCCTTGAGCCTCCATGGCTCAGAGCCCCACTGTGTGCAGCACACAGTAGGCCCTTTGTGAGTACTTGTCTAAAGGAAGGAATCCCATCGGGGCGCCCATGTCGGTGACAGCCGCTGAGCGTGAGGGCGGCCCCTGTCGTGCTTCGGCCCCCAGGTGCGGTACTGGACCAGCGGGGAGGAGGGCTCGCCGCGCAGAGTGAAGGTGGTGGCGGGGGAGACCGCGGCCCGGCTCCACGGCCTGAGGAGCCACCTGGTGTACCACGCAGCCGTCCGGGCGTACAACAGCGCGGGCGCCGGGCCCTTCAGCGCCACGGTGAACGCCACCACCAGGAAGACGCGTAGGTATCTTGCGTGCCGGGTGGGGGGCGGCGGGAGTTTGCACCGGGAATGGCAGCTTCTGTGTGGGTGGGTGGCCGGGCCACGGCAGCTAGCCCAGCTCAGCCCTGCAAACACAGAGCCACCTGCATTTCCGTGATCCCCAAACTGGCAGGGTCCGGGGAGCGGGCACGGCCCCGTGTGGAATGCTCAGTGTGAGGTGTTTAGTCAAGTGTGTCCACTTTTCTCTTACACCATGGGATTTGTGATCAGTGTAAGAAAGTTCACATTCATGTTGACCAGCTCTGTCTGCTTTGCACTTGAGGTTTTCTGGCTCCGCCTGCGCTGGGCATCCCCACCCTACCCCCTACCCCCATCCCTGGTGATGCTGGCCCACTACCTCCAAGGCCCCTTCTCTGCCCCACGGAGAGTCCCTGCCAACCCCGCACTCTCTCTTCCAGCTCCCAGCCAGCCGCCGGGAAACGTGGTCTGGAACGCCACGGACGCCAGGGTGTTCCTGAGCTGGGAGCGGGTCCGAGCCATGGAGAATGAGTCGGAGGTGACGGGATACAAGGTGGGTGGTGGGGTTTGCGGTGGTCTCCAGCTCCCGCCAGGGCTTTCCAGGGAGCCGGGTTCCATTCCCTCAGTGAGGGAGGTCAGGCTTCTGGCTTCAACCAAATGACGTCCTGCACATGTCAAGCCTTGTATGAAGAAGGCGTGTTCCCAAGATGTGCAATACTTCTATTCACGTGGGTTTTGGGATAAAATGTTTGTAAATGGTTTATGTTAGTTTGCTGCTTCTGATGCTACCCATGGATGAATTTTAAAAAAAAAGCTGCCTGGCCAGTGTGGCTCAATGGTTGAGCATTGATTGATATGAACCAGGAGGTCACAGCTCGATTCCTGGTCAGGGCCCATGCCAGGTTTCTGGCTCAATCCCCAGCAGTGGATGTGTAGGAGGCTACTGATCAATGTTCATCTCTCTTATTGATTTTTCTATCCCTCTCCCTTCCTCTCTCAAAAAAAAAAAAAAATTAAAAAGGTTTGGCTCAGTGGATAGAGCTTTGGGCCATGGTTCAATTCTGATCAAGGGCACGGACCTTGTTGCGGGTTAGATTCCCAGGCCTTGGTCAGTGCCCAGCCCGGGTCAGGGCATGTGCAGGGGCAACCCATCGATGTGACTCTCTCCCTCCCTTCCACTCTCTCTGCAAATCAGTGGGAAAATATCCCCCGGGGAGGATCACCGACATCAAACATATTTAAGAAAACACCATGAACTCTAACCAGTTTGGCTCAGTTTGATTCCGGTCAAGGGCATGTACCTTGGTTGTAGGCACATCCCTAGTAGGGAGTGTGTAGGAGGCAGCTGATCGATGTTTCTCTCTCATCGATGTCTCTAACTCTGTCCCTCTCCCTATCCCTTCCTCTCTGAGAAATCAATAAAATATATTAAAAAAGAAAATGCAATGAGATACATTGGCTCTGGTCCGCGCATGTCCGCGATCAGGGCAGGGGGCCTTGTCCCCACCCGACACCTTCCCGCTCAGCTCTCCGGGTAACCCTCACCCTCCCAGACGCTGTGGTTGATGGTCCCGCTGTGTGCGAACCCCAGGCGCTGACCCTGGCTAGACAGAGCTGAGGCTGGGACGTAAACTGGGGTGGGTGGTGGTGGTGTGGTCAGCATAGCTAAGGATGGGGCTCAGGCCAGAGCAGAGAGAGCTGAGCCTGGGATGTAAGCTGGGGTGGGGGATAGGAAGGATGGGGCACAGGCCAGAGCAGGGGTTCCCGCTGGGACCACATGCTGAGTGTGTTTTGACGTTCCAGGTGTTCTACAGGACGAGCGGCCAAGGCGGCCTGCGGGTGCTCAGCACAAACCGGACGTCGGCCGAGCTGCAGCTGCCTGTCCAGGAGGGCTACGTCGTCCACGTCCGGGCCACCACGGCCGGAGGGGATGGGGCCAGCAGCGTGCCCGTCAGGATCCCGAGGAGAACCAGTAAGCGCCAGGCCACACTCTCCCCCACACACACACACCCGCAGGGACCCCGAGTCCTCAGGCCCATCTGCCCACAGTTTCCCCACACGCTGCTCATCGGGTGCTGAGAAACGTTGGGGGGTGAGGGGTGAGGCAGGGAGAACTAACTCCTCCGAGTCATGTATGATAAGGGGAAGGATAAGACAGGAGGACAGAAAAGACGTGGGGAAATAGGTAGCAAGGCTATATCCATTTGGATCTCCACCCTCCTCCCCTATCCCATGCTTGCCCCGTGAAGCCTGCTGTGATGAGACCCTCTGTTTATCCCAATTGTGTGTGTCATAGAGCAGCACTGTTCTCAAAACTAAGTTGTGTTCTCAGATTCAGTGACGGTTAAGTGATAGTGTATGAACAAAGCCTAGAATCGTTGAAGAAACATAAATACAGACGGGCCGGTGTTGCTCAGTGGTTGAGCGTGGACCCAAGAACCAGGAGGTCACAGGTTCAATTCCCGCTCTGGACATATGCCCTGGTTGCAGGCTCGCTCCCCAGTAGGGTGCGTGCAGGGAGCAGTTGATCCATGATTCTCTCTCATCATGTATGTTTCTGTCTCTCTCTCCCTCTCCCTTCCTCTCTCTGATATCCATTTTAAAAATACTTTAAAAAGGGGAGGGAAAGAGGGAAAGGAAGGAAAGGAAGGAAAGGAAGGAAAGGAAGGAAGGAAGGAAGGAAGGAAGGAAGGAAGGAAGGAAGGAAGGAAGGAAGGAAGGAAGACCAGTGTGTTCATAGATCGCGTTGGCAGATAACATGTGCCCCACTGTGAACAGCAGACGGCTGATCATGACGTGTGGCCTCCTGCTCTGAGAGGAATCCATGGCTGTGCCGTGGCTGTGATGCAGGAGCTGTGTTAACCAGCCGTCTCTCCCTTGGCAGGTTCAGACGCCAGGGGCTCCCCGTCGGCCAGCGCCAGCGCCCACCCCGTGTCACGCTGCCTGCCGGCGGTCCTGTTCGTGGCTCACGCCCTGTGGTGATGGCCACTCTTTTTTTTTACCATTTACTACAAGTTAATTGGTGACAAAACAAAAAACAAAACAAAAAACAGTGCTTTCCCGAAATGCAGTGATTATGCATGGTTGTTCCCCCCACCCCCAACTCTGTATTTTTAACTTTCTACGTAGGTAAAATGCAAATATAATTCAAAAGCAAACAGTACATCCTTTTAGGGGAATCTGAAATGCCTTAATACTTGATAAACCAAAGGACTTTATATATTATGTACTTTAGACTTTTGATATATATATAGGTGTCCCCCCAAACTGTATACACATACATTGAATAACTCTAAAGGCGGTGTTTATTAAAATACATTTTGCTTTCAAAAGTGAGCTATGGGCCGTTGAGGAGTGTACACATTTTGGGGGGGACACCCTATAGGTGTTTATAAGTGATGGTTTTACACTCTGCCTGTGGGTAAAGACTCCCATCCTCCCACGTGATCGCATGTATGTTTGCTGTGTCTTTCATTCAATGAGCTTTCATTGAATCCAACAGTTAGGGTCCCCATCAGAGCGGCCCTGTCTGGGGGATTTGATCCGTGTTCTGTTGAAAGGGTCAGAAGCCCATTGAGAAACTGTTCCAGGGAGGGTTGGAAAATGCTGATCTGGGGAGTCTAGGGGTGTGGTTTGGCCCCAGTGTCCTAGGGAAGGGGTGGGATTCTTCCCACAACTCATCTATAAACGTGGGACGGTCACACACACACACACACACACACACCCCGCCCCCTTGCCTGCCTTGGCCCGGGAAGGATTGGGACAGATGAGGAAAGAAGTGTGAGCAGGCCCGCCCACCCTGTGCCGACCTTGGTGCGAATGTGTTGACAGCAGATGCCAGGACTGCAGCGTCTTCCTGGCCTGCAGCCCTTCCAGCGAGGGCTTTTGTTCCATTCGACGATCCTGTCAAATTGAAAGGGCCACCCCTTGTCCTTCTCAAAAATTAAAATAACAATAATAATAAGAAGAAGAAGAAGCATGACTTGTGTCCTTCACACCCAGGTACAAGCTCGCGGCTTTTATTAAAACACCGAGGGCAAAAGAAGGAAGGACCTGAATCTCAACCCACACCTTAAAGGAAATTCACACGATTCTTTCATCTCCAGTTTCTGGTTCCATTTAAGAGGCCCTCTCTCTTTGGGTGGCAGAGACGTGGGTTTTGTAGGTGTGTATGTGTGTGTGTGTAATGAGATCCGGCCGTCTCTCTGAGAGAGCCTGCAGGCTCTTTAGTTCCTGCGTTCAATTTGTCATAGAACCGGGGAGGCCGCGGGCTCTGATGTGTGCGGTTTTCAAAGGCTTCACAGGACCAGCCGTCAGAGCACTGTGCAGAGACGTGACACCCGCCGATGGAGTGTAGACGAGGCAAAAACAATTTTTTTTCCCTCTCTCTTTCCCCCCCTAACCATTTGCAGAAACTTGTTCTTTTCTGCAGAATTCTCAGCGTTTGAAGCCAATAGTTTCATGTATCAGAACAAGCATAAAGCTGTGCTTTTACGGTTCGAATTTGCGTTTAAGATAAAGCCGTCCTGCGCGAAGGAGAAGACTCTTTCTCGCTTTGTCCGCAAGGCCTGTATATACTGTAAATACCGAGGAAAATCTAACCGCGGCTCCTTCCGTCGGAACGGAGGCCGCCCTCTCTCCGGTTCCCCTATGGCGCTCCATGGGCTGGGGCGGCGCCTCTTTATGGCGTAGCGGTTCCTAGGCTCCCATGTCCAACACCATTGCTCTGTGTCTATGGCGTTTCTAGCAAGATATCTCCATGAGATGTGTACATTGTTTCATATTGAAAAGTTGAAAATATATATTTACATTTCTCTGTGTGTATCCTATGGTTATCTGTATGTATTATTTTCTATCATTCTAATAAAATCCATAACAAACCAACTGACTACTGTGCGTGACGAGTTGTGGGGTGGTCCACAGGAACGTGGAAAGGGCCCCGGATTGATTATATTTTTTCCGCCCACTTTCCGCTTCTCTCTTTTTAACAGGATATTTTAAGAAGTGTTTGTACGCCCTTCGGACTGAGTGCACGCAGCCTTGTGAGACAATGCCCTCTCTATTGGAGGCCCGGCAGCTGTGGGGAGGGAGGGCGGAGAGGGGAAGCAGAAAATTCACTTTGTAGAATTAGGGTATTGAGTCTGTGCTGACTTTATTTGGTTGATGGCAGCTACTTGTACAATTTTTGACAAGTTTTGTTTAAAAAAAAAAAAAAAAGAAAGAAAAGATTGGCATCCATTTGCTGGGCCCTGCAAAGACTTTCTCTTTGAAATTGGGGTTCGAACCCAGCTGTTAAGCAACCCTTGTGATATATTTGAAAAAAAAATAGACTAGAAAAAAAGATTAGTTTCTGACTAGTACTGGGATGTAGAAAATGATAGACCAGCTTGCGGTAGAACTAAACTCTACTACCAGACTTTGCTTTGCTATTTATACGCTTTTCTAAGAAAACAAGAGGTCCCTCAGCCTGGCAGGTGATAGGGGCCTATCGGGGCTGACTGGCCCAGGAGCGGCCACGGGATGTTGGCCAGCTGGCTGGGGAGAGACTGTGGGGGGGGGGGCTCTAGGGTTTGCCCAGCCCTCTCACCCAGTCCTCCTCATCGGCCAGACCCCAGCAGTGTCTGCCCCCTGGTGGTCGGTGAGCATCATAGTGTCTGATTGGACACTTAGCATATTACGCTTTTATTGTATACGATAAATGGCTCTACAGAAAGACTGCACAACACCAATGTAAGCCTTCATTAACTGGCCTCAGCCTCATTCACTCGCTCTTTTCCTCCCTGCCCCGTGAGTATCCCTCATTCTGACTTCTGCTGGTTTTTATCACCCAAACATGCATCCTCAGACGCCTCAGCCTCACCCCTCTATTTAAATCTGATCTATCTCCTAAGTTTCTCTCCACCTACAGTTCTCTGCCCGTCCTTTATTTTTAACTTGCCATTTATCAGCACAATACAGCTCATCACTCTTGGTGTGCCGGCTTTGCCTGTAAATAAATTCCGCCGCTGCCCGTGGGTGGTAGCTCCTGTCTGCTCAGAGACTCATGAATCACCCTTAAAACCCCAACAAGTGACTCTGACTTCCAAACCCCCCCTGACATGGATATGCCTCCATCTGTATGTACATCCATGCCCCGTGGGGCATAGAAATCGTTTGGAAATAAAATTATAGTTTATTTAAGCAATAAAGTTGATTGATTAGGTACAGGGGGCTGCAAGGTGCCTCCCAGGGACAGGAGCAGGAGCCCTGAGGTTAGTAAGGGACAAGGGAGTGCTTGTTACCGCCACCCAGACCGTCACCAGGGGTAGAGCCTCTGGCGGAGCGGCCATCCCCCCAGGGTAATGTGACTAGAGGGACATATGGCCAACTATTGGGCATCCCAGGAAAATCCAGGTTCTGCTCTCCTGGGTCTGGGGCAGGGCCAGGACGTGCTCTCTGAACGCCTCCTGGGAGGGGTCCACCCTGTTTGCCTCTGGGAAACAAGGGGCCCCTCCAACTGGCCAGTGAGGCGGGGCCCGGAGCTTGCTGTGGAGGCCTCCACGGTACTCACGGGTCAGCGTAGGGGCCTGGAGTGTGCGTGTCAGGTAGGGGCACCTGAGACTGCAGGGCGCCTGTGAGAGCACGGGTCCTCCGATGCCAGGTGAGAATGGAGACATGAGAAGCCACAGGCACAGACAGGAGAGACTATTGTAGACGGAGCAGCCGCTGCTACTGTAGGAGCCATCAGACCTAGGAGTTCTTCCCACTAAGCAGCCGCCCACGGCTGACCCGTGGCACCTTGTCCACAGGCTCCCACAAAGGAGGCCCCGTGCCCCACAGTGGCTGTCCTGCCACATCACCATCAGCTGGCCACCCACGGGTGCACCTGTGCAGAGTGTGTTTGCCGCTCAGTCACTGCGCTCGCACCTGTGAAGGGCAAAGGGGCCTTTCGCTGGTGGCACTGCTGTGGCCTCGCCTGCACACGTGTGGGTGGCGAACTGGCCTTGATCGCCCGGTGTGCTCTGAGGGGGTTCCCCCCGGTGCCACGCGGAACCCTGAGGACTCTGCGTGTGCCACCCGGCCTCGGGAGATGTCGGACATGGACGTGACCAGCCCTCCCCTCACCTCCCCACTCCACCTGCCGCCTCTCCCTGACCTGCAGCCATGTTCCCAAAGGGGAGTTCATCTCAGCGATCAGGACCGGCCTCGGAGGAGCCAGATGTCTCCCCGTTGCTTTCCCTGGAAAGGGAATCACCGGTCCCTCAGCTGTGCCTGAGGTAGAATGCGGATCACACAGGCTGGCTGGCTGTTCGGGCTTATTAATCGTCCTCTGTCTCCTAATTAAGCGTGGCCTGTGGCGTGAAGGAGCACCGGGCACAGGCACCGGGCCTGTGTTTGAAAGGCGTCGGTAAGTGCCCTGTGACGGGCTGGTGAGCGCCCTGATCCATCCTGCACAGCAGTTGCCATCTCTTCTCCTTGTGAACTGCAGATGCATTACGCAGCATAACGGTTCCTGCCAACATTCACGAAGTGTGAGAACCCCCCAAGGATCAAATGCTACGAATGTGTCTTTCACACACACCAATAGGTGTTGTTGTTGTTGTTTTGTTTGTTTTTTTTAATATTTTATTGATTTTCTTACAGAGAGGAAGGAAGAGAGAGATAGAGAGCTAGAAACATCGATGAGAGAGAAACATTGACCAGCTGCCTCTTGCACACCCCCTACCGGGGATGTGCCTGCAACCAAGGTACATGCCCTTGACCGGAATCAAACCTGGGACCTTTCAGTCTGCAGACCGACGCTCTACCGCTGAGCCAAACCGGTTTCGGCTGTTGTTGTTTTTTATAAAAGACAGCTTGTAATCAAGGCTTAACACTTATTTGTAGAGGTTAGAGCCGATTTGTAAATATTTATATTTGTGCAAATTCTTTACGTGGAGATGCAAAACAGTCAGCTACGTAGTTCGAAGGATGAGTCATGGTTAGTGTCATCCCTGTGTCAG